TAAGGCATGACATGGATTTAAAACATACTGAGCCAGATACAAACAAACACTTCTAGGCAGAGTTGGGTTTTGTTTGAAGAATGGTAGTAGGCCAACTTTGTTGCAGTTTTCTTAAGATTCGCCAAGTAAGGTCCTCACAATTTTAAAGACTTCTTCAGTTGTAAAGTTGTCTTCAGTATATCGTTGAGGATCGTTTGACTCGCCAGAATACTCACACATGAAGCCAGGACAGCGGCTTAGGGGGAGTATTTTCCAGGAGACCCAGCACCGGGGCAGATCAACTCCAATTAACCCATGGGCCAATAAAGCTTTAGCCTTGGATAGAAATGAGAAGGCATTCGCATGTTCTTCTGGGGTAATTTTACTTAGCGGGTCAAAATCCGCTGGAAGACGCCCAGCTCTATAACCTGGTAGGGGATTCTCAGTGGTTGGAGCGGTGTTCTTGCAGTAAAACCAAGTGGTCACCCATCCTTTAGGGTGGCTTGGCAAGGTTGCGGTAGGGAAACTGGTATCTCCTCGTCTCTGGATAGGACTCCACCTAATTCTTAGCTTGGATCATTCTGACATTCGGTCTGACAATTTATATAAAAGAACACTTTGAAGAGGGCAATGGTAGGCTCTATTTGTAGATAAACCTCACAGAAGATTTGGAAGTGGCAGATGTTGGATACAGAGTTTGGGCCTATATCTTGAGGGTGCAAGTTGAAGTAGTGCAAGACATCCCTAAAAAACTTAGACCCGGGCAGTGTAAAACCCCTGAGTATATGATCAGTGAACACTACAATTTCCCCTTCAGCGGGAGTAGGGATGATCTCTCCTTTGCTAACCCGCCATCCAATTTCCTGTTGAGTCGCCAATAGGCCTTGGCCTACATAATCATTGAGGATTTCTTCGGTAACCAGAGAGTGCTCCCAGTTGCAGATGGTCATATTGAGTAGCCTAAAGGTACGAAAGTAAGTTACAAATAAGGCAGGATTATAAGCCGTTGCAAGTAACGGCGGGTTAATTGAGATAAGCTACTTTTTGGAAATTCTTGGCGAGTTATAAATTCAAAGTTAAGCCGCCCGAAAGGTGAAAGGCGGGTCAATGGCCTATGTTGCTGGATTTTGGCTAAGTGTGTGATAAACAAATTTTGCAATCTACAGCTATATATACGGATCTACGGCAGTTAAGAAAAGGTGGATAAATGTTGAACCTAGGGCGCAGTAGTGGAAGAACTGGCAAGGTGTGTGCTGATTCTGAAAAGGAAGTAGTTTATTCTAGATACAAGATGAAGGCTAAAACGGCTTCCGCACTGTTCCAATATCATTTTTGGATTGAAATACGGGTGTTTATATGCGAATAGGATGAACTCGGGTGAACGCCGATGAACTCTGTGAACTAGGGTGACCTAATATGGATCTAAGAAAAGAGAAGAACGACACCTGATGGTGTTGCTGAAGAGTGGACGAGCGCCGCGGATCTCTGGTCTGAACAGGTTGATGCAACAGCCTTTGACGGAGTTGCTGGCGAAGCTCTATTGGTGCAGTGGAGCTCCGGTCGTGGATGAGGTCACGAGGAAGAAGAAGAGGCAGAGGCAATGGTGGTAAAAAGTGAAAAGGCAGGGCCTTGTCCCTATATATAAGGAAGAGATAGAACAGTGAAAAGGCATGCGCGGCGATCGAGGAGACGTGATAATTATCTCACCAAAAGGGGCGCCCCGATTTTCGGAATGGCTGGTTAAATGCAAAGATTCATTGTGATGTCATGAGATTTTTTCTGGACTTAATAATATGATTTCATATTTTCTTATGGCGAGTCATGAAGGTCTATTCAAGGTCAAGCTTTAGAAGAGCTGAAGAAGATGCACAGACTACGAGATGGAGATTGACATGAAGAAGTTCAAATCAATCTGGGCCTAATGTTGGGGATATAACCCCATGGTGTGACCCTCCCATGAGGGGCCGGTTACACTATTGGCGACTCATAAGTGAAAGCCTAAAGTAGGCCCAGGAAGATAAGATATGAAGACTGGAGGCGGCTTACAAAGCGGGCTTGTTGAAGGCCCAAGACCCGGACATGGCGTCATAGCCCGAAGGTGTGAGCCGCCCGATGGCAACTTGCCTAATAAGGCAAAGCGACTTAAAGCCCGTGTCGGTCACGTTGTGTGATCCGATTTAGACTCTTGTCAGCCCAGGGCCTCGACCTGTGTATATAAAGGTGAGACCCTGCAGCGGGTAAAGGGGAGAAATCATCAATCGATAGCTAGCTCAAGCAATTCCGCTCCCTTGTAATCGATACTCAGGAAATACAACTTAAATCAGGACGTAGGCTTTTACCTCGATCTTGAGGGGCCGAACCTGGGTAAACTCGTGTCTCTCGTCCCGCTCAACCCCTTTAAGCCAACCTACGTTGCGATGGCTCCACACCTAAGTCCTTTCACAAGGGCATATGCCGTGACAAAACCATGGCACACACCCTTCATCCCTTGTCTCCATTCCTCTCCACACTTACATCCCCCAATCCTAGTCGCCACAGACAGGAGACAACATGGTGCACCTTGTCTGCCGTGGAACTTTGTCCCCACTACCACGACTCACCTCCCTCGTCGCTGGCCTTCGTCGCCATCGTGTTGACTTGCCTCCCCATCGTTAGCACAGACAACTTCGCCCGCCGTGAATCAACCTCCTCTTGGTCCGGAGATGTCCTCCTCCGCTATCGTGGTCGTCCTCCACAACCCTTCCTCCTCTGCCGCTCCCCTTTGTCTGCCGACATCCTTTATGGCCGGAGCATGCAAGCCGCGTTGATTCTCTTCCTCACTGACCACCTCGTCTGATTCTTGGAAGGTGAGTAAAGAACTGACGGATTCTCTAATGGGTTGTGGCTTGTGATGATGGTGATATGCGGCTACATGTGTGTGTCAACAAATACATGGATATGTGTTGGGATGTGATGCTACATGTGTGTATGTTGTGGTGCCACCGTGTTGCTTTGTAGATGTCCTGTCGTACATACAGATTTGAGGAAGAGAACATGTCTATTCATTAATTGTCAAGGTAGTAGAAAGAACACCAGAAGTAAGAATTACGTACAAGTCTGTAGACCACCTAGCGACAACTATAAGCACTGGAGCAAGCCAAAGGCGCGCCGGCATCATAGCCCCTCCCTCATCAGAGCCGGGCAAACATCGTTGTAGTAGACAGTCGGGACGTCGTCGGGGTAAGGCCCCATAGGACCAGCGCACCAGAACAGCAACTGCCGTCGAGGGAAGTTTAGATCGGAAGGATCCAACCCGCACACACATAGACGAATGAAGATCAAATCCAAGCAGATCCATTAAAGAAATGCCGACCGGATCCCACGAGATCCGTCGGAGACACACCTTCACACGCCCTTCGACAACGCTAGAAACATCGTCTGGACGGGGGCTAGGCAGGAAGGGCCTTATTCCATCTTCAAGAAGCCACTTCTGCCTCGTCTTTTCCTGAGCATGGCACAAAGCCTAACAAAACTCCAAAAAACACTTAAAAAGGGAGCCCTCCCGCTGGCAAGGGTCAGGGTCGATCGCGCCTCCATGATCTAAGGACCATAGGAGATGAGGCGGACCGACGACGGCGTGGGCGAGAAGCAGGGAAACCCTAATAGGTCGTAGGAGGCGAGCGAAGAGGTATGCGATGTGTGATATTGTCCACTAGTAGTAGATGCTCATGTATATTTGCTTTGTAGATGTGCCATTGTCCACTAGAAGAAAACATGTGTGTGATTGCGGATTTGAGGAACAAAAGAGAAATAAAGTGTTGAAATGATAATTCAATTCGGAGGTCGGGCTCATCTGCACCTGGTGAGTAGTAAAATAATAAAATCATTTTTTATGGTGCAAGATGCTCAAATTTGTGGGGTTTGTGCAAAATTTTGGGGGTGTTTGGACATTCAATGAGCTCGCAACAAAAAAGGCAAAATTGGGTATGAACAGTATTGTTTTCAAAAGTTTTCGAGAAACTCCATGAGCTCCTCAAATGTCCAAACTTCACCAAATTTTACACGGGCATCACGCATAAAAGCATCTTGCACCACCAAAAAACATTTTTTAATTATCATGAATTTATTGTTCACCCTCGGGCTCATCTGAGTCCGGGTGCCGAAACACCGTTCCCGTGTTGAAACTGCTTCTGCAAACAACAAAAATGGTACAACAACGCCAGAAAAAAGTCATCCCCTCACCATCGTACAAGCCTAGTACAAAGAGCAAACGAAAAAAAGACAATTACACAGCAGTCCACCTATCAAATGAGGCCCAATCGGGCTGAATATGCTTTTTGTGGGTTTTTGGCTTAGCCGGTGGCTGGCTGGCAGAAGCTAGTAGCATATTGACTCCTAGAATTCACGTGAGAAACTGCCTGCTGGAGTTGGACGACGGGGTTGGGGATTTGGCAGTCATGGGGGACTACCGAACATGCCCTAAGGCTTGGCTCTAGGGATCGACCTTGTTTCGTGGCGGGCTGAAGACCAGCCCAACCCTTTTATTCACGTGTCATGCCACATAAAATATCCATGTCTGTGGACCGATCTTAAAAGCACGACCCATATGGTCAGGTTTGCTTCGCACGGCATGTGTACAGAAAACTGGCCATATGGGCCGGCCCAGACTGGGCTAGACGTGCCTGGCACGACATGTATACTATACGGGTCATTGCCGTGCTGGCCCGCATGCCATGCCATACTCCCCTATAGTAAAACGGGCCAGACCGACACGTTTGGCCCACTGGCCCGTGTATTGTTCAGCCTATTGGGTTGTACAAATTTCTTTTAGAAAACGGACCATGCTGCGGGAGCACAGGCACCGCCCGTTTATATCGAAGCAACCAGCCCGAAAAGGCCCAAGACCCCGTCCCGCAGCTTCACTTTCCCCATTCTCCTTCCAATCCACCACTCCGCCGCTAGGGTTTTTAGGTTTTATCCCACAGCAGCAGCGGCCGTCGGCGGCGACAACCTAACCCTCCGCGGCAACTCGAGCGAGAGAGATGAGGCTTCTCACGCACAACTTCCTGGCGTCGAACGTGAAGGGCGTGAGCACGGGCTACCCGCTCGCGCTGGAGGTCGCCAAGACGTCCATCAAGGAGGTGGAGCTCAACGTCGACTTCCTCCGCGGGATCCTTCCCAAGATCGACTGGCGGGCGCTCTTCGCCGCCACGAGCGCCGCGGGGTTCCCGGAGCTCCTCGCCGCGGAGCAGCCGCCGGAGGCCGAGCTCTTCGCCGAGGGCGCCGCGGACGTCGAAGGCAGCGCGATCCGCCGCCTCCACCACGCGCTCCTCGAGATCCACGTCGAAGAGGGCACCCTCGTCTGCCCCGATAGCGGCCGCTCCTTCCCCATCCTGAAGGGCGTCCCCAATATGCTTCTCCATGAGGACGAGGTGCCGCACTGACTCGCGTGCAGCACCAGCCGTCTGCCTTGCTTGCTTGTTTGCTCGTGCCACATATGGTTATGCACTTCCAGGGCTTGGACTCCTAAGATTGTGTGTATGAACTATCCTAGCATGAATTGTGGATCTTGAAGTCGTACCTTGATAAATACTACTCCTACCTGTGACGTTTTGCTCCAAATCGCGCTTTTGTTTCAGTATATTGGGGCTTCTGAACCTCGACTTTACTCAACTGCTGCTACTTTACTTTTTGGTAAATTTACCTTTGGTTATCATGAATGATTTGGTACACAGTAGTGTGAGGGATTGCTGCAGGGGGAAATGAACATATGAGATTACAGTTTATTTTTTGTCAAGTATAATTTGAAGTTCTCTTGAGGAAATTACTTTTTGATTGAGTAATTTGGTGTCAAAACTATTGCTTAGCATGCATTTTTATTCTCGCCGAGGTGTTAGAATATTGAATCATCTCGTAGCATGCATGGTGTTAGTAGTGTGATTAGGACTGGTAATGAATCATCCATTCATCTTGTATACTAGATGAAAATTTGATTATGATTTGTGCCAAAACTACCAATTGAGGGCTGTATGAATCTGGCTGTATTTTTGTTATGTGTGTGTATAGGGGTGTGTTTAGGTGCAGAATTTTCAGTCATACCCATCAAACAATTTCGTACACTAGTTTGAAAATCTGAATCTTCCTCTTGCTGGCTCTCATCATTGGTGTGTACATCATATACCAGTGAGTTGTACTTGTACGTGCTTTGCTCGCGAGATATTGTTGCACCATAATATTAACAAGCCACGGTATTTACATATGCATAATGTGAAATACAGTGTTGTTACCGATGATGGTTGAATTAATTTAAAAACAAATTTTAGCCACATAGCGCAGTGTACATGATATAGTAAATGTATTGACCTTAAGGCATCTTCAAAGGCGATCCTCAAAACTTCGGCACATGTCTGATCAGACATTTTTGTTCACTTTTGCAATCCAATGGGACCCTTATCATTCCGCAAAGTGGTCTGGATGTCTGTTTTACGGCAAAGTCGAGACAAACGTGGGGGAGCTATACTGTAGTCTGGACATCCACTTGACCAACCAAAAGCCTCCATGTGGTCCTTCTCTCTTTTCTCTCTTCATGCATGGTCCTCCTCTCCTCTCTCTCTCATAACACCACAAATCCCACCCCATGCATGGCCCCCATCTACTCTATCTCCTCCTAACCGGATTAATATGTGAATAGTTTTGGATGGCTCACTCTGGCATCATGTCCGCGGACCACACCCGGACATAAAAAAAGACATATACCGGAGACTTTTGTAGGTCAGCTTTGGAGATGCCCTTAAGACCAAAATTTCATGAGGATGAATAGTTAGTTCAGGATGCACCCATAAAGTAGCTAGTATGACAACATTTGGTAGAAACTATTTGAAAACCTACTTCAAGAAGTGGTTGATAATAAATCACGTTGAACAAGATTTCACATGGCAATCTCATAGATGGCGACACTTTTATGCAAGAGGAAGAAAAACTATTGGAGCAAGAGGATGCATGAAGAGTCTAGAATAGAGAGATGTCCCGAGATAGTAAAAGGGGCAGCTGCATGGATCTTACATCACACACAAGAATGGGTTTTACATCCGATCTTATATTTAACCATTAGAAACTTCTAGATAGTACATATGGCACAATCTGATGTACTGAATAGGAAATCGAACGGCTATCGACATTCGGATTTGCCACCTCTTTGCCATCGGATCGAGTTCATCCACCGATCCATATTCAAAGTTATTCCTACACTATATAGGGTATAGATATAGATACAGGTATTCTTGTTATACAATATATGTCATCGGTGTGTACCTGTGTTGCACACATTTATATCCGAACACATCGTGTACCTGTGTGGCACACATGTATATCTTAACTTTGTGTCCAATCTAACGGGCCAGTCTTGAAACTCCATGTTAGCCTTAATCACGTAGACAGGAACATACAGTTCCACAACTGTTTTCTACTATCCCCAAGTGTCGTTGTCAGTTGTCCTATTTCTGATGGCAGCATAGGCATCAGTTGCTTGCTTGCTCATATCATTTCCCCATTTGGGTCCAGCCACCAACTTCCATTTGATGTTCAATGTTTTTGTAAGATGCTTTACCTTTTAGAAATGCTGTTAAATCGTAACAACAAAGTTATTGAGCGCTTATGGTGATCCTGATAGCAATTGGCCGGTTAATGTTTTGCTCCATTATACAGTCCCCTATAAGTAGAGTTAATGTTTCCATTTTTCTGGAGTAGATAATTCATCCATTTTATTGCTTGCGTTTTAGGTGAATAAGTTATGCCAATGGCTTTGATATTAAGTTCAATACAGAAAGGTATGTAATTTTTGTATTTTAGGTTTTTAGATTTATGGTACATACAACTCCAGCAACTAAATCTCCAGCAAAAATAGCAACTAAATTTCCACATATTTAGTGCAGTACTATTTTACAAAAACTTGCATGATGGAAATGTACTCCAGTAAATTGAGCTTATGCCTGGAAATGTGCAGCTAGACACCCAGTACTGTTCGAGGAAATCTCCAGATGTATTTAACAGTTCACAACTTTTGTCAAATGGAGCTCTAGGCTCTTTTGGTAATGTGAAACCCAAGCAGGATAGTTGTCTGTTCTAGTAGCACCTCTGAATCCTCTACTGGTCCTCACAAATTACAGCAGATCAAGCTAGGCAGCTAGCTTGGCGTATGAAATAATGAAACTCACAACTCCTGGTTGGTTGGGTTGGTGACCAAATGCAAATTTCTGGCGTTAGTAGTCTGCAGGCACATCACAATTTGATGGGACGCCGCAAGGCACGTTGTAGGAGCATCGAGAGAAAGTTCTGGCTCTGGGTGGCACTCCCATATTTGACTAAGACGTTTTGATCACTTGTTCGCCACATTTTGCTGTACCTCCAGTGCGTTCATTATGGTTTCATCCAGTGCACATTGGAAGACTCGCTGTAGAAATCTTTGGAAGATCATGTCGTATGGTACTGGTACGGTGGCCAGGCCCGGCCATTGAAGAACCTTCAGCTGCCCCTGTTAAATGCAACCCACTGGGTGCACGCCTGTTCAAGGGAAATGAAAGGTGAAACATTGATTGAGGAGTGAGGGCCAGTTTCAAGATCTGAGGTAGTAACATAGAGTAATAACATGCCCATGTTACTACTGTGGTAACATGCAACACTTCATTTAATAGGCTATAGCCTCATCTTGCCTTGATATGTGTGATGTTACTCATATTATTAGTAACTAGCTATGTTACCATGTGACTTTCTTTCTTCATTTATTGTTTGTCACATCATCTATTTTATCCAGATATGTGTGATGTTACTACTTATGTTACTCCCACTGTGGGTAGTCTGAAGTAGGAGTAGCATTTTCTTTTCAGTGTTATGGAAACAACAACAGGCGAGAGTTAAAGAGAAATCCTCCGATTGGGTATATAAGTCAGACACAGATATTCAGAATTTTTTTAGCAAAACATATGTACTATGCCATATAAATTATAGGTTTAGAAACTCCATTCGATGATGAATGTAAAGATATATTTTTTATAGGCACCGTTGAAATATATTGCCCGCCTTTCTTCATTGACTTTTGAATAAATTGACCGAAGCATGAATTCAACATGATATCTAAGTCAAGAAGTCTTAGGTTCAAGAACCTGTCAATGCAACATTAAATAAAAAGATTCGGCGGCATCGAGTATTCATGATGTTAGATCGAGCTGTGGGGGAACACCGGAAAAAAATTGTATGAGACCAGGTCTCATATAAAGCAGGTGAGATTCGCCCTGATGGATGACACGTGGCATTCACAAATCACAAAGCATCTAATCTCTCCCCCCTGATTTCAGGTGTGGGTGAGGTAGATGCTTTGTGATTTATGAATGCCACGTGTCATCCATCAGGATGGGTCTCACCTGCTAAACTGTGAGACCTGGTCTCATAGAATTATTTTTCGGGAATACCCGAGTCCACATGTTTGGAAGATATATTTATACGGAAACTAAGAGCTCATACCCATCTTATAAGCCCAAATAAAAATAATCCCTCGTATTCATATTAATTTATTCAGAAACTAAGAGCTCTCCCAATAGAGATACTCCCTCCTATTGGTATATTAACTCTCGCTGATTTATTTGTACTGAATCAGTGATAACTTTTTCCGGAGGAAAGGGAGTAATAGTTTTTAAACTCCAAATGTGTAACATTCCGCTAAAAATTTGCGCGACCCCCACAAGCCTGCAGACACGACTACTTCACTCACTCGGGCCTGGCATATAAAAGAAAATTCTCTCTCGGGCCCGCCGGGCAGTAGACATCTTCCGCCCGTGGATCACGGCAATCCCATGCGCATCCTGCGTCGGCCGTCAGGACCCGGTTCGTCACGGAAACCACGCACGATTTCTCACACGTAGACGAGCGGGATGAGCGTCTCTCGGGAAAAAAAAAACAGACGAACGGGTGAGCCACCTCTTTGGGCCGCTCCGGCCGGCGGCCGGCGAGCGCTGACCAGCGACTTCCGGGCCCACCTCGGGCGGTGTCGGCCGGCGTGTGTACACACGGCGGGCAGGAACCGGAGGCGTGCACGAAACCTGGGCCATCCCGTGTCGCCCGAGACCGGTCTTCACTTCTGCAGCTGTTTCGGGCCCACTCGCCACCTACTTTCTGCCAGAAACAAGTGTTTGGAGCGGTGCGGACGAGCTATCCGAACACATCATAGACCCCTGCCGTACGTGCGACTCGGTTCGGTAGCCGAGCAGCCCGAGTCGGACCTCAACTATCTGTCGCACTGACCCGGTCCCATTCCGTGTTAATAGTCTTTTGTGGATTGGTTTTGAGACCTCTGATCCGAAATAAGTGTCCCACTTTTAAACCGAGGTTAGTTCACACTTATTATAGATTTGAGGTAGTAACAAATATACTCCATTCAACCATCTAAAGAAAAACTCTATTCAACGCACGTGAGGGTGACTCGCTGTAAAAAGAAAACTGTAGCCTGGTTGTCTCTAGTCAACATCAACAGCCGTTCAGTCAAAGAAAACAAGCATCTTTGATGTACTTGCACGAACTTTGTTGTTTAGACTGGCTCAATCGAGTAGCAGTGCTCAATGTAAAAGAAATAAATCAAGTAGTAGTGTTGGCCACTTGGCTCCTCGTTCACATGGGTGGATGAATCTTACCAGCTATTTGGAAATAATTATTTCCCAATTGATTTAGAAATAACAAAATGGAAAGATTTTGTTCTTGTCATCAACAAACAACACTCATGCAATGAAATAAGATGGCTCTCGGAAAAAAAAGAAAAAAAAACGAAATGGCATGTCATGTACTAGTAAATGCTCTAACATGTTTTCCTGTCGTGTACACTATGATGGAGAACATCATTTATCTTTTCCAAAAAAAAATCAGTGATGCAATTTGGTTTGAATGGCAACGGTATTTAAGATCAATTAAATCAAACCCTCTTGCAAGTCATCATTAAAATAGGAATTATAAGCACTAATGGTGTTGTCACTCTTTAAGTTCGAAGGGGTCCATGTTCTATTGCTTAGCTAGATGCTTTCATTGGTTATCGAGTATTTAATGTGTTTCACAACCCTGCCATGTATATATATGGAGGTTTGCGGGCATGGAAGATTAAAATGAAAAACATAGGTGCAAACTGAAGGGTGGAGAAATGGAGGGTTGATTTGTTATCGAGCCAAAAATAAGAACAACCAGCCACATAAAAACGAGAAGGTTTATATTAAAGGGTGAAAGAGAGTACAAACAACAAACAATGCCAGGTCGGAGGCACCGACGAAAGCCTTCCATCTCCCGGATCATGAGATAAGGTGTAAAGCACGTTATGCCGTATTCTTGGAGACATTTGATCAACCTCAAGCAATTGGAGAGTTCCAATCTTAAAAAATGTGTATGTTTTGCTCTTTTCCAAAATCTCTACATGGTAACCCTACTGCTGGCAGTTAAACTTCAAACATATGCTTAAGTATGTCCTTCTACAACTCATTCCTACTAATAATAGGTTGCAATGAGTAGGCAAAGGAGGCCATCCCATTGCAAGATAAACACACGCGTGATTCGTGAAGTTGCAATCCATGCAATGAAAAATGATCGTCCCTAGGTGAAGTGCTAGATTGTCCGGCCTAGAGTTCCTTCCATGGGTTACAAGTGAGACAAGAACCGGGATGTTGGGCTTGATATTAGTCTGCTAAATCTTGATCAAAGAAAAGGGAGAGGTGGAGCCTCTAAACTGAGTGTGGTAAGAAAATGTTGTTGAGTAAACTATGTACTACTGCCAAGAGATGATACACAAAGTGCCACAGTCAGGCTGAATCTCTTGCTTGCAGTTCCGGGACATTTCACATGTTTATTATCGATTATATTGAGGGTGTGAATATTTGTCTTTTGATGTCTTGCTTCCTTATTCTCATTTCTATACATTGGCGATTTATAGCGACAACTACCTCAATTCTAGTATCTTATAGTGTTTAATATTTACTATAGTAACATCAAATTTTATTACTCGCAATGTATACTAGTAAGGTACCCATGCATTACACGTAGAAGCTTTGATAACCAAAGTATGGATGCATATTAATGTACCATAGCATAGCATGTAAAAATGTAAGTTTGTAGTCATTTGTACATGTTTTAGATGTAGACTTAATTTCCATAGTTCTTCCCATTCAAAATCAATATTATAGCTACAAAAAATACTACAGGAAACTGATGTAAATATATCTACCACATTTGTCTTGAGTATATCGTATTGCAACTTTGAGTAGCCAGTGTTGCATCTTCAGAGACAAAATAAATTTTAATGTGTTGTCATAACCTTGAACAAAAACTTTATGAACTAAGTGTGAATGCCAGTTCTTTTAGAAGAAAAAGTTGGGGAAGACTTAAAGTATGAAAGAGTCTAGAACAAATGGAAAGTGTCTATGATGTGAGGTTTCTGAATATTGTTCATTGTAAATTGTAAGTAAATAAAGAATGATCATTCATTTAGATGAGAAAAGTTAGAATAATCACAATATGGAAGACTCTAGAACAAAGGAGAAGTGTTTGTGTTTTGAGGTTTGTGCATAATGTGCAATGTAAATCATAAATAAAAGAGGCAATTCATTTGGAATTTAAAAAGTTCGATAATTAAATTATAGAAGGTTCAAGAAAAAATTCTTGTGTCTTGAGGTTGTGCATATTGTGCATTCTAAAGCATAAAGCAAAACAATGGTAACACGTTTAGAAGAAAAAAGTTTGGACAACTAAAACATGAAGGATTTTAGGACAAAGGAGAAGTCCT